AAGTAAATGTCAGTGTTTAATTGAAATTAGAAACCGGGACTGAAACGTGCGAAATTTGTAAGCATATCAAGAAATTGCTCTATAAAACGTGTCGTTTCTGCTCAGCCATTTTGTATGTCCATATATGGAAACTACTTACCATGCATATTTGGAGTTTGAGGTATGTTTGTATCGCAAAAAAAGACCATTTTTTTCGAGGTAAATTTTATTCAAACTTACAGAAATTCGAGTGAAAACACATCTACGTCGGCCATTTTGTTTTTTGTTTAAGAAATGACTGGAGAAGAGACACAGGGTGACACTTGTTTGATAGGCTGTTTACCACAGGAAGCTCGCGAAAACGACACTAATTGTTTGATATGGAATGTAGCTAGTATACGATAGCATACCTTTTCAAGTTTTTCAATTTTGCCTTCCAGATTATCGAAATCCTCTTGCAACTGCATTGTTTCCTAGTAAAAGAATACTCGTGAGGCGAGAGCAAAAATTCCGTGACAGAAAAATGGAATGGCCATCATCGTGTACAAATGTGTAAGAAATAAGATTTGGGGAAAATGAGCCCCGTGAAAGAAAAAACACAAAGGGACAAATATCAGACGAGAATTTACAAAATTTACTAACTTTTCGCTGTTGAATCACAGCGTGGGACAATCACAGCAGAGCTAGAATGTATTGGTTTACCTTCTTGTTTCTGTCTAAATCGTTTTTTAACCTGGCCAATTCTTTTTCACATTCTTTTTTCCCCTGATAACAATTGATAAGATGAAAAATAAATAAGCATATATATTAGTTATATAAAAGACGGAGAAAACATCACCACAGTTGAACCCACTTACAGTAACCGCAATGTGTATTTCTTCGTTGGCCATCTCCAATTTCTTCCTTAACTCTGCTATCTCCACTGTGGATGTATCCTATGTGTAASAAATCAATGAACGAAAAACAGCCAAATGAATTTCAGAATCTTCAAATAAACATTTCGACTTCATGAGCTTTAGTTTCCCATTTCAGACCGACATATCATTTCCCTACATCAACAATGCGCATGAGAAAACATAAATATAATTCAGGGCTCGTGCTACTCCTTAAACTCCTTGAAAAATTCCTTGAATTTGATTCACGTTTGAAAGGGCACTTGAAAAGCTCTTGAATTTTACGATTTTAGCGAAACTCCTTGAATTTTTGCTTTGATCATTACTTGCATGGTTCTGAAATAGATCTATTCAGAAAGATCAGAAAATCTGAAAGTCGGCCATGTGCAACCACCGTGTAAAACCTTGGCATAGTTAGCTGAACATACTCCTTGAAAATTCGTTTTGGGGTCCTTGTATACTCCTTGAATAGTCCTTGAATTTTAAGTGGTTAACTCAGCACGAATCCTGATAATTAATATGGATACAATTCAAACCAAAAACTTCATACTCCAAGGAATTATAGGCGTGAAAGGGGAAAGAGAAAGCTCAAGCCGAGAAGTTAAGTCTATTCCGCTGAATACCAAAACGTGGAAAAATTTGTACTAATTTTTTGTACTTACTCCTGCAGTGGCCTCTTCTGACTTTCCTGATTTTGCCTTGCTTCTACCCTCTTCTTCCGCTAACGTACCGTCGTTATATTTCTGCAGGATTTCAAATATTTCTGCTTCCTTTTTGATTGGGTCTTTCCCACTTAGACATTTGAATGATGTCTGTAGTACGTTGCCGCATTTCGCGATGTTTTTCTTCCTTCTTTTCGAGGGCTCTAGTTCACCATTTTCGATCTTATCCATTATTCTGTTGGCCATTTCCCAACACCTATCAGAAAGTTCTGACACCTTGTAAAATAAGAAAATGTTTCCACTGCCAGTCTGAAAATCAGAGACAAAAAATTCGGAGTTTCAGATATGACAAAACTGGGTGTAAAATACGGTTACTTTTTGAACAATGCATTAAGTTACCGATGTTCCGTGAAGCTTGAAAACGCGATTGAAGTAGCCTTTTTGATAACTAAACGCTCTCTGAGTCCAGCGTTCTGCTTTTCCACAGTGGTTTTCCAAAAACGTCCTCATCAAAGTAACTGTATATCGAAATGGTGGCGGCCATCCTTCTTCTGTAAATTTGGGCAGGTCGTCCCCGATTACTCTACCAATAGAACGGTGAGATCCGAAGAGGGCACTTGCATTTGATGGGCCATACAATTTTTTATCCAACTTCTCTTTTTGTGCTTTGCTCACACTTGCGCCTACAATCCAACGAAAGACCAATGTAAGGTGCATCAAGCTGATAACTTCCATATCTCAACACACTTTCCATCTATATACCGATCATCAATACATCAACATCATCATCATCATCATCATCATCATCATCATCATCATCATCATCAATGCATATATGAATGCATATATGAATGCATATATATATATATTTTTTTTTTCCGAACCGTTTTAAAGACAATGATTTTATAGGGACATCTATTTAAATTTATTGTAGCAAGAGAATATTCTCTTGATTGTAGCTAGTTTCCTTTTAGACTGTATAGGTTACGCTGTTACGCTGTTCGCCCTATACAGGTCATAGATTTTTTGCATCTATACGTTTTAGTACTGCACATAATAATAATCATCATAAATTTATATAGCGCTTAAACTATAACATATTCTAATATTAAGTGGTAGATCATTCCATATTCTAGGTCCGGCTACAGCAAAAGCACGGTCGCCTGATTTTGATTTTGATCTTGGTACAAATAGGAGATTTTTATCATCTGATCTAAGTTTGTATCGCCGTATTGGTTGTGACTGAAATATATTAGTCAAGTACACAGGAGACAAACCATTTACTGCTTTGAACACTAACAGAGCAATTTTGAATTAATCATAATATATATATCATAAATATATCATACATTGGTTTATTTATTTACCTTGTTGTCTCGCTTCTTGACTCGCTTCTTGACTCGCTTCTTGACTCGCTTCTTGACTCGCTTCTTGACTCGCTTCTTGACTCGCTTCTTGNCTCGCTTCTTGACTCGCTTCTTGACTCGCTTCTTGACTCGCTTCTTGACTCGCTTCTTGACTCGCTTCTTGTCTCGCTTCTTGTCTCGCTTCTTGTCTCGCTTCTTGTCTCGCTTCTTGTCTCGCTTCTTGTCTCGCTTCTTGNCTTCTTGAAATACTGGTCGTGTGCCTCATTGGAGTCGATTGTAAGATGGGGATGGCTGGGATAGCTAGAGGGGATATTTTCTTTTCCTCTGCTATGTCGAAGGGCACGGAAAACGTTAGACCGGAGTAAAAATGTTACAATTATACATTGAAATGAAAGGAACTACGCATGTAAATGAAAACACTGTTGAAGAGCGGTAAGGCATGCTTTGATTTATTCTATAAATAGAGGGGGATATTATAATACTCACTTGGACTTCTACTTTCAATGTCACTTTCTTCAACAACCTTGCACGATTGTAGGACAGTTTTTACAAAGTCTTGGGAGTTGCTTAGGTCACCATCTGATAAACCTCTAAAAAATTCACCAGTAGCGTCCAAATCGCGAAGACTTAACATAATCGGGGAAGAAGATTTCTTAAGGTACACCTACAATGAACAATTTTAGTGATATATCTTTTTTTCTTCTTTTCTTTTGGACGCAGGAATGAAATTCAACTCAACTCGAAACCAAACGGCAATAATAATTTTGTGATACATACCAACACATGCTCATCCTCAAAATCAGAGTGATCGGGAACCTGAATACCAGTGACTGGTCCTAAGTCGGAGTCTACTCCACTGGTCAAAAGAGTTAAGGAATCTGAATCGCTACCGTTATATTGTAGAGTCCAACTGCTTTTGCAGGCCATTGCTCGATTTCGTCTTAATTGACTTCGCTTTCTTCGAGTAGTTGTTGAGCCAACCGTGTTCTCACAAGAAATGTTAATGTTAACTTTTATACTCGCGTGAATTCCTAGAGGTGTTCATCCGACACCAAACTTTCAAGAAGTAACACTGTGATTGGCCCATTCATTTGATTCTCGTTGTTCGTTTAGCTCTGCCTTATTAATTTTCCGGTGTTATATTTAAAATTGTTTAAATTGTCCTAGTGAAAACATTACCATTACAAATGTCATACGCCAAGCACTGTTTTGTGTTTAAATAAATTTTGCACTAAATTTGGGCTATCGCGAATAAGAAAGTGAGACAGTGCGAGCACTAAAAGTGTGCAACACTTTGCACTATTTAAGAGTAAATAGTGCTAATTAAACAATAGAAAACATTAGAATTAGCATAATTTAGCAGTATTTAGTGGTATTTATGTTACCCACATATAGTGTTTGTACTCTACGATTGCACAATGAATGTGCAAGAAGAATAGAGGCTTAAAAGACTCCTGGATCTAGAGGGGGAAAAGACATTTGGTTGCCGACTATCAACGGAACGAGCTCAATAGAACTTGCATGGGAATGTTATCATACTCATCGATAATGATTATCTTTGCTTAGGAGTAACTGACTTTTTTTGCAATTTTTTCAACAAACTTGATATCCGTCTGGTCCTTTGTAAAAAGCATCGAGACGTTGTATGATGCGTTTGTCAAGAACTTTATATTATCATTATTATTATTAATATGATAGAGAAAAGTTCTGAATACCATGTGTTGATAAAACCCCTTTCTGTTAGAAATTTAGCTATCGCGTACCTAATGCGAAAAGGTCTTTCTCGCTTAATATCCTAACCATTGTGTGAAGTATCGATTACGATCCCAACTGTTACCTAACCGTTAGGAGATCCTTGCTTTAGTACCTAACTGACGGGACTCTGAGCAGCAAAGCCCTAACGATTAGTATCCTGACCCCAAAGGTTGGATTATTTCAATGTGGACAAGTGTTATATCTGTATGCTAGTTCTTAAATGTGCGGATTCTCTATTTTTTAGCTTTTTTACCTGATATATTTTTTCTTTCCATTTCTTACTATTTATTTTTAATTTCTCGCAATTTCGTTCCCTTTATCCTTTACCTTCCATTTCATGTCAGGAGGCCATTTTGTCTGCAAGCTGTTTGACCTTTTCACTCCGTTCAGCATGGGACTCATTTACTTACTCTACAGAGCATTTGACGAAGTCTTTATTTTTAAGCCAGTCACTAGCAGACCAGCAAACTCTGAGAGGTAGGTAAAGTTTTGCTAATAAAAGAAAAGAAGGAGGCCGGGAAATAGTTTTAGATTGAATTAAAAGGTTTATATTTCATAAACATTTTGTTACTGAGAAAAAAATGTGAAAGGTGAGGGTTATTTTCGAAAAAAAAAGTAAGCATTCGTAAGAATACGGTCTACCCCACAGCCGCTTTCAGTGTCGTCACGCAACGCTTTCTCAGGGGAGAAAGCGTTGCGTGACGACACTGAAAGCGGCTGTGGGTGAGACTATCGTAAGAATCAATAAGAGGAAATTAAAAGTGATATGTGTGTCCTGAAGGAAGAAATCCAAGGTGACATACACAGCTCTAGTTCACCTTTTACATATGGGGTCTAGGGTTCAATTCCTGTGGTGGTCAATGCTTGGTCAATTCGTTAGGTCTCCCATGATTCAAGGGCTTTTTTGCCAGAGGTTGTTTCAGGGTTCTATCTCTGAGTTAGCCGTGCCCTGACTTAGATCATCCCAGAGGTTGTTTCAGGGTTCTATCTCTGAGTTAGCCGTGCCCTGACTTAGATCAGCCCCGCAGAGGTCGTTTCATGGTTCTATCTGTGAGCTAGCCGTGCCCTGACTTAGATCGTCCCAGAGGTTGTTTCAGGGTTCGATCTGTGAGTTAGCCATGCCTTGACTTAGATCAGCCCAGAGGTCGTTGCTGTGTTATACCAACTATAAAATGGCTTTTTTTTCCTCCGACAAAATGGCAAAGTTGCGCAATAGTTACTCAGGGGTCTTCAGGAACTTACCCAAGAGACCTGCGGGTATTTGGTATAGTCGAATCAATTATCATGTACCAGATGTCAATAAATGTCACTGTGTTGTCAAGTGATTATGAGAGGGCGGAGCTAGCAGTTCACGTGGCACTTGTTTTATTTTCAGAGTGTCTTAATTATGGAGTTTTATCCCTTCTAAAATCTCAGTTTTTTATTCCCTCCAGATACGTGGTGTGCAAGTTCTTAAGAGATGGTATCTCAGATGTCTATGACTACATGTTCAACCTTAATGTCAGGATTAACAGGCTAAAAGGCACAGACGAAGATGTTATGCAGGTATTAAGGAAAACGTTTTTAATGGGTCATTTGCACCAAGAGGTCAAGTGATGTTAGCATTTTTTTCAGTCGGTAGTCTGGAAATCTCATGAGAAAAAGTGACACCTCCGTTTTGAAAATTTTCTGGATTGGAAATTTTGGAAAAATTGGAATTTTTGGAAATGTTTTCGAATTTCTCAGATAAGCTGACATGTTTTCTATTTTAGGCTGTTCCCTTAGAAATCATGAAGTCTGACAAAGCTTTTTTTCAGTACATGAAAGAATCCAATGACAGGTAAGACCTATTACTGTCCCAAATTTTTGGCTTTGACTATAACATCTTTTTACACTTGGATGTATTTTTTGAAACATCAAGTATAGCATAACGGTAGTGTATTCACATGTTAGGTCCTGGTTGCTATTTCCACCTGGTGTTCTGGTGCATCTAGTGTTGATGTTCATCCTAGACTGTAGTGGTATTGATATGAGGTGGTGTACATGTTGGGTCCTGGTTACTATCTCCACCTGGTGTT